GCATTAAAAACACGCTCACCTTCAACGAAATTTCCTTTCCGAGGCTTTGTGTCAGCCCAATCACATATTGTGTCAATACTTATCATTTTATCGTAATTTAAAAACTTGGAAATTGCACGGTACACTATAGGAACTACCATAAATTTTCCCTAATCGGCGCCATGTTTTTAGGCTCCTCCCATTTGACGGATCCCAGAATTTTAAGCTTTTCTGACAATATTACAAATCAGAAGGAACGAAGATGACAAAACAATATTAACTTATTATTCTAAAGAAATGTTTTTACTTACTGACTAAGTGACATGATTACTGTTGATTTTTTTCTGAAATGATGAATATTTAACAAAAACTCGACCCCCTTCCCCCTATTAAACGTACCAGCATTAAAAACTTAAATTATATCCTGTTATAAATACATAAGTGTTCAACTTGTAATTTTACTTTTCTTTCTTTATGTATATTTTTTGTTTGTAATTTTTTTTTATTCATTTCAGATACCCTTTTGGCAGATTTGCAAAATACGGTTTGCCCCCCAGGATCTAGCGGTACAACAGCGGGTTATGGTTCACTTAATGGCCCAAAAACTCGTTCATCCCCTGCACCAGAATACCGCCAGTTTGCTAGTGCCGGCGACTACCATTCCACCCCAAAAATAGATTCGTACGAGACAAGATCGGTAATTACATTTTACAGGTTTATTTTAAAAAGTAGAAGGTTAAGTAAAAGAATATACTTAATAGATAGTTTTGAGACAAAAACTGCAACTGTTTCAAATTTAGGCGCGAGTCTCACCCTGCTTTTACTTAAAACATCCCTGTTTCAATGTTTTTGAGTGCTTTGTACATGTACATTTGTACCTTTCACTCAGTGGTATAGCCAGCTTTTTTTCATTGGTTAAGAGTCGGTCACACCCTTATATATTTCAAGTTCCACACAATCCAAAATGAAAACGCATCGAGCTCCGTCATTATAATGCACTGGAAAAGTAAAGAATGTCTTGGGTTGTGTGTACATATCAAGCTAATGTGACAAAGTTATATTTCCCATTACTAAAATGTACTTTAATTTGTCGCTAATTTGTTACTAAATCCAAAAATTTGTCACTCCAGCCGGTCACTGGAAAATAGGCAAAATGCCGGTCTAATGGCGTAGACCGTAGAGAAATACTATCAGGACTTTTATCCATTTTGTCGCTTAATTTGTAGCTAATTTTCCACTGAAAGATGACACTTTTTGCCGTGTTTTGTCTTAAGCTGGTCACCAAAAACCGTTGAAGTAACGTCAAACTGGTCTATTACGGAATGGAAATGACAGATATTAAATGATTTTTCGTCTACCAGCTCGAGGCTGGACAAAATGGTTAAAAAGGGCAACCTTCTGCGACAAATTGTAGCCCTTACAGTATTTATCTACGTCACTTTTATTTCGAGATAAGCTAAGTGTAGTGCCAGCTTGACGGCTCTCTATAATTGCTTTTCGTCTATCAGCTTGAGGCTGGATAAAATGGGTATCAGGCTAACTAAAAAAGAAAAGATTAGAAGCCTTCGAAATGTGGTGTTACACACGAATGATGACGATACCGTGGATAGAGAAGGTTAGAAATGGAGAGGTATTAGAAAGAGTAGGGGAACAGAGGACTCTATGGAAGTCAGTAAGAAATAAGCGAGATAAGTTGGTAGGACACCTTCTCAGGCATGAAGGTCTAATCAAATACATATTAGGGGCAGAAACAGAAGTTAGGAGGGGTAGAGGTAGACCTATATTAGATTACTGTTTGCAGATAGTTAAGGATATGGTTTTAGGACTGACTACCTTACTTTATGACGATGAGGCTGACTATTCCGGTGACTGGTTGGAATGACAAATTTTTGCATTTGTTAACAAATGAGACTGCACTTTATTAATAAGAAAAATAACTTTATCGCGCCAGTTTGATATACATTTGTGTTATGCAGAGTTGGATGCATGTAGTTTATTAATACATGAGCTTTAACCCACCCGTAGTGCTTGCATTTGATTTCGCGAAATGCTCTTGATGTCTGCAGTAATTTGAACTTTTTCACAAAAAAACATCACAAAAATAAGTATGTATATATTATTAAATGTTAATAGAAACATTATGAGTAAAACTGATTTAGGGGGTTTATTTTTTTTACAGACGGAAAAAATATCGCTTAATATTACAT